AGCACATGTCATTTTTTCAATGTTGATCCCGGTGTTTCAATTTAGGATAATTACACAGTTGTTGTTCACGACACGACTATGATGTCAACATTGGTGACGTTAACGTTTGTTGATTCTTGGATTATAATTCCCTCCCTACTAGACTCATGATCTCAACGACGTCCACTGTCACATCCGTGCTCTTGTAATTGCCAATGTGGGCTTCGAAGTTATGCCTTGGATATGTACATCCTTAACCATAGCAAAAGCTAAATTCTGCATTCTATAGCCTTCTATTAAAGAGGGATTAATCTGGATTGAACAGAAAAAATTGAAATTATATTAAGAATAGAAATGCGTACCATAAGTGGATCTTCGCAGTCAGTTGTAAAATTTCCATCAAATTCTATGTATGTCATGTTACTTTCTTTCTTTCAATAACTATTGTCTACAAGATTTGGACTTATCGTTTACATAATAGACGACCTAATATTTAGTCCTCTTACACGCATTATTACAACAAGATAAGTAAATGAATAGTTGTGTGTGGTTGTTTGTGAAGGAAGTTGAGGTTCCACCGCAAAATCAATTGGTACTGGGGGAAGTAGCTCAACTCCTTATAAACCCAGGCTTGGTCCCTTAACGTTTCAATGTGGGACAAATACTCTCAACACGCCCCCACACGTGTGGTGAACTTTCAAGCCTAACACGTGAACAACACATATTGGGTGACGTGGGAACACGTGTGGCCGTTGGGCCCAACACGTGAAGCCTTGCTCTAATACCATGAAAGAGCCACCTGTCTTACGACACAACTTTAGTTTTTTTTTTCTCTTCCAAAACTTTCCTTCCCATGGCTAAAGCTAATGATGCCTCTACTACCACAACCACCACTCCACCTACCCTTTCTTCCATGAACAGCCTCACTCCTGCCATGGTTGTTGCTGTCTCCATTAAGTTGGATCGAACCAACTATTCTCTTTGGCTGGCACAATTTCTTCCCATTCTCAGAAGCCGAGACATTATGGGCTTTGTGGATGGCTCTCATGAATGTCCTCCAAAGCATCTCCCTGGTAGCATAGCAATTAATCCGGACTACACAACATGGAATCAGCACGACCAACTTATCTTAAGTTGGATCAACAACTCCTTATCCCAATTATTGCTCTCCAAAGTTTCACGTAATCAGACTTCTCGCTCCACTTGGCTGGCTCTCTAAACGTCGATATGCCTCGACATCACAAAATAGGATTTTGCATTTTTGCAATGAGCTGATGCGCACCATGAAAGGAGACTTGTCTGTCTCGGATTATCTTGACAAGATGAATATGATTGCTGACAACCTTGTGCTTGATGGACAACAGGTTCCTGATGACGAACTTGTGCAGATTATCATGAATAATCTTGGCCCTGAGTATGAAATGGTGGTGAGTGCTGCTCAGGCCCGTGATACCCCCATTACATATCCCATACTTGAGTCTCTTCTGATGACTACTGAAAGGAGAATGGCTTATCATGTTTCTTCTCTCACTGAGTCTGCTCTTGCCGTAGCTACATTTGCTGCTAACTGAAGATGTGGTGGTGGTCGTTCTAGGGGAACTAGACGTGGTGGTGTTCCATCCAATCGTGGGACTGTTCGAAATTCACAAGGTGGTACTGCTCGTGGATCCTTTACCAACCAGCGAAGCTATTAGCAAGTTGGTGAAGCATCTTCCTCTATGAACACACGGTTAGTGTGTCAAATCTGTGGCAAGCCGGGTCATTTGGCTTTGGACTGTTATCAAAGGATGAACCTAGCGTATGAAGGTAGAATTTCAAAAAAACATCTTACTGCCATGGCCACCTCTCCTACTACCATGGCTCGACAGAACAATGGCACATGGCTTCTTGACATCGGTGCAAATGCTCATGTTACTCATGAACTTCATAATATTGTCAACCCTAAGGAATATACTGGTAATGACAATGTTGGAGGTGTAGGTAATGATTCCGGACTATCCATTTCTCATTTTGGATCAAGCACTATTAACACTGATTCTTGTTCCTTGCACCTAAATGATGTCTTACATTGTCCCTTTGCTTCCACCAATTTAATTTATGTCCATCGTTTCACTTCCGACAACAATTGCTACATCCTAATTTTTCCTCCTTCCTTTTTTGTTAAGGACCTCAATACACAGAAGACGCTTTTCTAAGGGAGATGTGAGAATGGATTGTATCCATTTCATTCTGGCGGTGGATTTTCCAATCAACATTTTCAAGCTTTTCTAGGAACTCGTGTTACAATTCAAAAATGGCACTCTCGTCTTGGCCATCCCGCTAGTCCAATAATGAAGAATTTGGTTTCTAATAAAAAAGTGTCGATTACCGGCTCTTCTGATGTAGGATTTTGTTATTCATGTCCTTTAGGTAAAAGCACAAAATTACCTTTTTCAAAATCAGATTCGGTTTCTTCTTCTCCATTGGAGCTTGTACACTCCGATGTTTGGAGTTCACCTATTGTTTCAGTTAATGGTTATTGATATTATTTGCTCTTTGTTGATGATTTTTCCCGCTACACATGGATATTCCCTATATGAAACACAAATTCGAAATTTTTGATTTGTTTGTTAAATTTAAGCAACAAGTTTAGAATATGTTAAATGCTTTGATCAAAACTTTTCAATGTGATGAAGGAGGTGAATATACCAAATTTGAGTTTCAAAATTTTTGGCAAATCAAGGTATCCATCAACGTTTGTCATGCCCTAAACATCCTGAACAAAATGGATTTGCAAAACAAAAACATTGCCATCTTGTTGAAACTGCCATTGTCATGCTTTTTCATGCTCATTTCCCTTCCTCTTATTGGTTTGAAGCATGTCAAACAGCTACCTATCCAATCAACAGGTTACCTACAAAAGTACTTCACAATCTATCACCATTCGAAAAATTGTTTCACAAACCTCCTCCAAATCATGTGCCTATATTGTCCTTGCCTTCAACATAACAAGAATTAGTGCAACACATTGATCATGCACCGGCTGAACCTGATGTATCCTTCATTGAAGTTTCAAGGCTGTCCAATGTTCCCACGCATCCTATTGTGACTAGGTCACGGTTGGGAGTTCAAAAACCAAATCCTAAATATGCATTGAATTTTATTGTTGATACTAAATTACTGGAACCCACTTGTTTTAGCCAGGCTGTGAAGCAAGAGGAATGGAGACAAGTAATGGCACATGAATTCAATGCCTTATAGCGCAATGGCACATGGCAACTAGTTCCTTTTCGGTACAATATGAACCTGCTTCCAAATAAATGGGTTTTTAAAATTAAGAGGAGAGTAGATGGATCCATAGCACGCTATAAAGCAAGACTTGTCGCCAATGGTTTTCATCAGAAGTAAGGTGTCGACTATAGTGAGACATTTAGTCCTGTGGTCAAGCATAGCACTATCCGCTTGGTTCTCAGTCTTATAGTCACTAATAAATGGCCAGTCAGACAACTTGATGTGCACAATGCATTTTTGCATGGTTATTTAAGTGAGGAGGTTTACATGAAACAACCAGCTGGGTTTGTTGATCCACAATTTCCTAATCATGTATGTCGATTGCAAAGAAATCTATATTGTTTGAAGCTGTCGGCTGCGCAAATCTCACGGCCTGGGGTTCCGGGCCGAGGGGATGTGCGTTAACACGTGGCTTCCTGCTTTTGGATGCGGTGCGGTTGTGCGCGGGCGTGCCAGCACGGTCTACCGTGCGTCGAGATGTTGATGTGGATAGAATGGTCAAGTGGTGCGCCTGTTTGAACTCGTCTTCTAATCAAACGATTGTAGCTGAGAGATGAACTGATCTCGGCTGTAAGGTTCACGGCCTGAGCTACAAGGCCGTTTAGGGGTGGTGCTGATGGTGAATTTTGGGCGGTGCTCCGGCGCGCTGCTCAATGAGCAGCGGTCGTATGATATATGGGGTGAATGAATGAGTAACAGAGATGGTGCTCCGGCGCCTTGAAAATCAAGGGT